GACATACATTCAACCGATCTTGTACTTATTAGCCAGTATGGATATCTCTTTCTTATTACAAAAGCTTTCACTTAGATCATTGTGGTGCTCTTCCATATCTTTTGCTTAAAACTGGTGTTAGAGCTAAATGCTATATGACTCACGCTTCTAAGGCAATTTATCGGTACTTGTTAGCCGATTATGTTCGTATAAGGTTAGAATCTGTCATATTCATTGCATCCCAAGCAATTGCGGTGTTTCCGCCGAACATTCTTTGTATACGGAACGCGACATCGTCACTAGTTTAGAATGGATTGATACAATTGATTTCCACCAAGAATTGGAAGTGAATGGAATCAAGTTTTCAGCTTACCATGCTGGTCATGTATTAGGTGCTGCCATGTTTCTTATTGAGATAGCTGGTGTCAAGGTACCTATTTAGTTTTTCTTTTAACAGAGTGTATGTAGGTTTTATATACGGGCGACTTTAGTCGACAAGAAGACAGACATCTAATGTGTGCAGAAGTTCCTCCTATTCGACCGGATGTACTTATCACAGAATCTACTTACGGCATTCATATTCATGACAAAAGAGAAGACAGGGAGGCGCGGTTCACTCAACTCGTTCATGATATTGTAACTAGAGGTGGTCGGTGTCTTATTCCTGCATTTGCCTTGGGTCGTGCGCAAGAGCTAATGCTGATTTTGGATGAATATTGGTCTAATCACCCTGAGCTTCATGACATTCCTATTTACTACGCTAGTCAACTCGCCAGAAAGTGTATGGCAGTTTATCAAACATATATTAATGCAATGAATGCCAAAATTCGAAACCAATTAGTCAATAATAATCCATTCTGCTTTCGATATATTTCGAACTTGAAGGTAAATTAATATTTATGAACAAGGGCTTAAAGTTGCTTGTTTTATTTTGCTCAAAGACACATTAAAGTATCCCTTATGTTTTCCTTTATTTTGAACCAAAATGACTTCACGAGAGTAGAGTATACAACATTTCGACGATTCTG